AGGTGATTGATGACAGATTAATGATCGATAAATTGATAGACAGATAGATAGATATGTAGATATATAGATAAAAGATAGATAGTTAAATAGATCATAGATGAATTTACAGATAGATGATCGATAAATAGATAGATAGAGAGATAGGTAGATATATAAATAAGAAAATAGATAGATGTATAGATAGGCAGATAAATAGCTACAGAGAAACAGGCATATATAAATAACTGAATAAACAAACATACAGATAGAACAAACAAATGAATAGATAAATCCACACACACAAAAATATTAACAGACAAACAAGAAAAACAACAGAAAAAGACACCATTATTTGACACGAACGATAGTCAACAGATACGGTCGATATTCTACCCGAGAGAGAAAGAGAAGAGGAGAGAGAGAGAGAGAGAGAGAAGAGAAGAGAGAGAAGAGAGAGAGGAGGGAAGAGGGAGGGAGGAGGGAGGGAGGTGGGAGGGAGGTAGGTGGGAGGGAGGGGGAGGAGGTGAGGAGGAGGGAGGGAGGGAGGAGGAAGGGGAGGAGGGAGGAGGGAGGGAAGGGAGGGAGGGAGGAGGAAGGGAGAAAGGGAGGGAGGTGAGGGAGGGAGGGAGGGAGGGAGGGAGGGAGGAGGAGGAAGGGAGGGAGGGTAGGGGAGGGAGGGAGGAGAGAGGAGAAGAGAGAGAGAGAGATGAGAGAGAGAGAGAGAGAGAGGGAGGGAGGAGGAGTGAGGGAGGAGGAGCAGAGAGAGAGAGAAGAGAGAGAGAGAGAGAGAGAGAGACATGAGGGAGAGGGAAGGAGTGGAGGTGAGAGGAGAGAGAGAGAGACGATGGAGAGGTCGTGGTCGTGAGGGAGGGAGGAGGGAGGCAGGCGAGAGAGACAGAGAGGATTGAGAGAGAGATGAGTGTGACGATGTATCTGGCATGCTAGCTGCATCGGGGAGGGTCGTCGAGAGAGTGAGAGACGATCGAGATCATACGTAGACTCAGAGATGGATACTGACGGGATGGGAGGGAGGGAAAGAGAGAGAGAGAGAGATGACGAGAGTAGAGACGAGACGAGAGTGAGTCGAGTGTGAGACTCGAGTGCGAGATGACGAGAGAAAGAGTCATCGTGACTGCTCGTGCATTGCGATCTGCGTGCATCGGGAGGGTACGGATGATACGTGGGGAGGAGGGAGGGAGGGAGGGAGGAGAGGGAGGGAGGAAGGGAGGAAGGAAGGGGGAGAGGCGAGGAGGGAGAGATGAGAGAGAGAGAGAGACGCAATGAGAGAGAGAAGGAGGAGAGAGAGAGAGAGGGAGGGAGGTTTAGTGAGATGTGAGGGAGGAAGGAGCTTGGAGGAGAGGAGGAGGAGAGATGGAGAAGGGAGAGAGAGAGAGAGTAGAGAGAGGGGAGGGAGATGAGATGAGAGAGAGAGAGAGCAGAGACAGAGAGAGAGAAGGGAGGGAGGAGGTGTGTGAGGGAGGAGAGAGAGAGAGAGAGAGAGAGAGAGAGAGATGAGAGAGAGAGAGAGAGAGAGAGAGGAGGTGAGGAGGGAGGAGAGGGAGAGGGAGAGAGATGGAGAGAGAATGAGATAGGAGTAGTTGGATGTGATGAGAGAGAGAGAGAGAAGTGAGAGACAGACAGACAGATTAGATAAGACAGAAGACAGACAGACAGACAGACAGGAGACGAGACAGAGACAGAAGACAGAACAGATGTGTGATTGTGAAGAGATGTGGATCGAGTGTGGTACTGTACTGTCGTGTTCTGTGTCTCTCGTGTCCTCTGAGGATGGCAGTAGCTTCGTTGAAGTCGATCTCTCCCTTCTCGAGATCTCTCTCTCTCTCTCTCGTCTCTTCTCTCGTCTCTCTCTCAGCATCTTACTCTGCTCTCTCTCTCTCATGACTCTCACTCTCTCTCTCTCTCTCGATCTCTCTCTCTCGACTCTCTTCTGTGTTGAGTGTGTTGTTGTGCTTATGTGTTGTGAGAGACGAGAGAGAGAGAGAAAGAGGAGACCAGAGGCTGTGTGTAGTGCGTCGTGTGGGAGAAGAGAGGAGAGAGAAGAGAGGAGGAGAGAGAGAGAGAAGAGAGAGATGTGTGTTACTTAGTCTGTCTGTCTGTCTGTCTGTCTGTCTGTCTGTCTCTCTGTACGTCTCGATACTCGTACTCTCTGATCTCTGATCTTGCTTCTCTTCTACTCTCTCTCATCTGCTGTCTCGTCTCTCTCTCTCTGCATACGCCTCCGCTCTCTCTCTCTCGTCATCTCTCTCTCTCTCTCTCATTCGTCTCTTTCTCCTCTCTCGAGAGAGAGATGTGCTACAGATGATCTCCTGTACTCTGACTAGTGACAGCATGCTCTCTCTCGACGACATCGATCTGGAGACTCTCTGCTACGAGCTCTCTCTACTCGAGGACCAGATCAGAAGACCAGAGACAGAGAGAAATAATAAAAAATAACCGTGTACAATCTACTACATCTCTCATCCATACACTCTCTCTACTCTCTAGGGCTTATATCATACTC